GCCCCCCCCCCGGGGCCGCGGGGGGTTTTCCCCCCCCCCGGGGGGGTTCCCCTTTCCGGGGGGTGGGGGGGGGGAAAAACCGCCCCGGGCCCCCCAAAAGCCCCGGGAATTGGGTAAAAATTTGGGCCGTTCCCCCCTTTTTTTCCGGCCCCTCCCCCGGGGGGTTTTTTTTTTTGGTGCCCCCCGGGTTTTTGGAAAGGGGTTTTTTTTGGCCCCTTTGGTGGGAAAAAGGGGGGAAAGGGGGGGCCCTTCCAACCCCGTTGGGGTTGGGGGTTTTTTTTTTTTTAGGCCCCTTTTTTTGGGGGGTGGCCCCCCCAAAAAAAGGGGCTTCCCCCGGGGTTAATTTTTTGGGGGGGGGGGGGTTTTTTTTTTTTCCCATCCCGGGGGGTTTTTTGATTTGGGGGGGGGATTTTTGGGCCCCTAAAAACCCCCCCCCCCCCCCCCCCCCCCCCCTCCCCCCCGACCAAGACGAGGTATAGGAAACCCTTGTTCGGTCTTGCAGGGCATCACCTGTATTTGCATCGTCATGCCTCTCTCAGACCCTGACATTTGTCGTTCACCTCCTCCAAAACAACAGTACGGCGACAATTGGTCGATTTACGTCGACCGAACGTTTCACAACTTGATCCAGGCAGCGCGATTAAGACGTTATATCTCCCCACCTCCCGCCCCCAACCCCTCCACCACTCCCTCGTGTCAAACTCACGCCTTGCTGCATCCTTGCAGGGAGTCGTACTTGTCGATGGCGGGCACGGAGCTGGTGTCGTGCCGTGACCTGCAAGGGAGGAAGATGGCGGACGTACTGGGGGCTCTGGAAGAGGCCTTTTCTTCCGCGAGGTGTGTTGTGACGAGCGGGCTAGTGCTTGCGTTGGACGGCGAGATGTGTTACGTTGAGAGGGCTTGTGCTTGTGTTGGGGCAGAGAGGTGTCTCGTAACGAAGAGGGATAGTGCTTCCGTTGGGCGGCGAGATCTGTTGAATTGAGAGGACTTGTGCTTGTGTTGGTCGGCGAGATGTATTGTAACGATAGGGCAGTGCTTGTATTGGGCGGCGACTCGTGTTGCAGTGAGAGGGCTTGTACTTGTGTTGGTCAGCGAGGTGTGTTGTGGTCGGAGGGCTGGTACCTGTATTGGGCATGCCTGCGTGATTGCGTTTTGGCGGGTGCGGACGTGCTTGTCGACGTGTGCGAAGTTTTAGAAGAGTTGGGTGAAGGTGATCATGCTGCTATCTAGATGATATGTTGGAGTTCGCGCGGGGGAGCCTCTGTCGTGCACAAGGGGTCGCAATGATCGAGTGTGTTATGATGTGGGACGAAAATGAGGGCGCATTGCACAATTAATACTGCTGTCTTTCGCTCGTTGCCCTACGGCTGTGCTTTTCGCGGTACGTTGGCGTTTCATCCCCCCCCCCACCGACGTCCCATCGAAGAACGCCCTCGTAAACTGTTAACCCCCCCCACCAAACCTGCTTGCAACCGCGACGTGTTGTACGTGCTACAGCCGCCACGCCCCATCGCTGCTGGTGTTGGACGATCTGGACAAGATAGCTCCGGCTGAGGGGGATGAGGGCGCCGGCGCGTTCAACGCACAGGCGGCTCGTATTGCGGAGCGGCTGGAGGACCTCCTGGCACAGGGTAGGTTCGAGCGTGCGAAACGTGCTCCGGTTTATCTGTACAATCGTGTTTGTTTGCCTTTCCATCACCGAACTTGAGATCTCGTTTGTTGTTGATCTGTCCCAAGTCGCAAAAAACGTCCCGAGATCAGTGGGGAAACCCGGGTTTTTAGCGTCGAGCGCGCTAACCGACTGAGCAACGAAAATACGCCAGTCTCTCCGTGTGCCTAGTAAAGGAGAACGCCTCTGATTCCGTGTGTGGTTTGGGGATGCTCGCCGTTTTCTTGGTTTGTTGTGCGTTCGCTGGCATAACGCTTTTTGTTCGATGGTGCGTCTCGGAGGAAGGGTAAGTGCGACGCTCGCGTTCTGTCCTTAGCGTTGCGTTTTGCTTTGTCCTTGCTAATCCTGTCGTTTACGTTCACATGGCCATCTCCATTTGCTGATGTTGCTGCCCATGTTTCTCGCCCGTGTTTGTTTTGCCTTTGTGTATACAGCGTCAGGAGGTACGGCGGCCGTGGGCGTCCTGGCGACTGTGGGTTCGGTGGCCTCCCTCAATCCGCGCCTCACGCGCTCCGGCATGCTTGACGCACAGGTTCGTGGGTCCGTTCATCGTCTTGATGGTTAAGAGGCTTTTTTTTTACGACCGACAAAGACTCCTTTCTGGGTCTAACAGATCGGGAAGGATTTAGGGACGTGTAAGCCAAGGGCGAAGACGACAACATCAATATCATCGTCATCAACGGCAACAATTATCATACTCAGCTTGCGTATCAGCACTGCTGTTGTTGTGAGTGTCGTTGTCGTTGTACACTTCTAAGAACGTGGTTACCCTTGTCAAGTGTCTCATTTCATCGCCCTAGAAAGCGCAGAAACGGTTTTCCACGGCACTCGAAAACCCAGAAGAGGCTACACGTATGGATATAAAGGTTCAATAGAACCGATCGACCCAGATGAAGCGCCTCCGCGCGCAACGAAAGAAGCGCCGTTCACGTCATGTTGGGCTGTTATCTCACCAGCTTCCACGCTCCGCCGCCTTGCCGGCCGAACGTCCTTTCTCCATGGATCACGTATTGTTGGTGCTACGGCAGAAGATGTTGCGCTGTGCTTTTGTGGTTGTTGTTCGTATCCGCTGCGGCGTGTTGTTTGCTGCAGAGATGAGAGTGTCGCGGGCGCATGTATTTTCTCCCTGGTACAGGTCGCTGTAGGGAGCGCAATGTCTTGGGTGTGGAAATTTAGCTCTGTCGTGTTGGGTGGGTGCTATCTACAGGACATGTGTACCACGTTTTTTCTTGCTGTAATCGAAGCTGCTACGCAGCATGACCACACGATCACGGGCAACACGCGTTGCTCCGCAGGTGGAGATTCCGCCCCCGAGGCCGGCGGCCCGGGCGTCGATGCTCAAGTCTCTGTTGCGCGGGCTGGGGGCTGCAGGGTCTGCCGCTGCCGCCGGGTCTCACGTACACGGGGTGGGTCGAAACGATGCCTCTTGGCGTCGTCAGCATGATTGTGCCCCCGCAGCAGGATTGCCGAAAATTTGCTTGGGGAGCACTCCGCGTGCGGGGCGGCACCACCGTTGACCATATTTTGTGCGCTGGCACACGCAAGGGCGGTTTCTGTCGCTCCAGGATCCCTGACGCGAATGTTTGCCTTTTGTTCGTCTTTCTCGACGATCACGTATGCTGATTCTGCCGCGAGAATGCGGTTCGACCGTTGGTCTTCCTCCATGATCACGCGTCAGTTTAACTTTTACCTCGTCCTGGTGAGTTGGCACGTGGTTCGTTTGTCTACCTCGACCCACCACGTCTTCCGGGTCTCGTCTCCCACTCTCTCCTACCTCGACTTTCCCGAATGTCTACCACGCTAGCCATAGGCAAAGGCGGTGGTGACGATCAAGACATGTCTGCTGTAAGCATGAGATAACGGAGGTAGAGGAGGAGGAATATCCCAAGCAGAGAAAACAATGTTTGGAAGCTATGTTGTGAAAGCTAACAGCTGGCGAAGGTCGCCGTGAAAGGTTGACTCGCCTCAGAGAGTGTCATGGTTGGAGGCAGGCTGGAGACTGCAGGGAGGAGGAATCTTCCCATCACGCTAGACAGAAGAACAAATTAGATTGTTTCTGTTCTATTCTCGTCGACCTCGTTTCTTACCCTCTTGCTCTACCCCACTATCCTGGTTTTCTCCTTTTCTTTGTCGCGTTTAGAGGCGCGGGACCTTCGAAGCCTGTCAGCGGGACGTCTCTAAAGAAGCATTGGAAGAAGAGTATGATGGTGATGGTGATGATGATGATGATGGAGGCATCGATTGGGAGTACCTGTCGTCCAAGACGGAGGGGTGTCAAGCCAGGGACCTAGCGAAGCTGGTGAAGAGGTGCGGTTTTTCAGTTTTGTGTTTGACGGAGACAATTACCCGCCATCTTTTTCCTGTTGTCATTGTGGCATACGCCTTGTCGCAAGCACGTGCGGGTGCCATGTGGGGTTTGCGGACGTGTTCGGTGTCGTCCAGGGGACAGGAGACGAAGCGGACGGACGGTGTCGAAGGAAGCGAGTGTTGGATAACCGGCCACCCGAAACTCCCGGGGGGGGGGGGCAGCGAGGCTCCTTTGTTCGTAACAGGCCGGACTGTTCCCGTTATTTGTGGCATCCACCCATGCGTCTGGCACGAGGTGTCGCGTGCGTTGCGTGCCCAATCAAGATGTCGCCCGGCCGATAGGTTTCGTAGCGTCCACGTGGGTACTGCCTCAATTTTTGCACCTCCCGCGTGTGCTTCGCGGGTGCAGGGCGGTCTTAAACTCCGCTCTCCGGCGAATGAAGGAAGCCGACACGGAAGTCACCATCTCTTCCGCCCTCGCAGTCCCCTCCGCACGGGAGCACCAGCACCGTCGCCGGCAACGCACGGCGCTGCCGCCTTCGAGAGTAGCGATCAATGGCGGCACCGTGAGGGTCGAAGGCGGCGACTACGGCAAGGGAAGTCACGACGGCAGCGCATTGAACGGCGACGCTCCTTGCGGAGCTTCAACGAACGGCAGTCATAACTACCACCCGCCCTCCACCTATCGAGATAACCATGGCTCTTCCAGTGGAAACTTACGGCATGTGACGGTTGGTGACACGGGGGAGGGCAGCAGCAGCGGCCACGCGCGAGACCCACAGGGGGCTGCGCACCTGGGGGGTAGATGCGGGGTCGGTGTCGACATGGAGGACCTGGAGGCTGCGCTCGAGGGTTTTTCGGCCGAGTCGCTACGGGGGGCGGGGTTGTTCCGGTCAAGCGTGGAGTGGGGTGATGTCGGGGGGTTGAGCGGGGTCCGTTCGGAGCTGCGGGAGATTCTCGAGGTGTGCATGTTTTTGGCCTCTTGTTTGTTTTGGTCGCCGTGTTTTCTGTCGGTGCACCTTCCTGTTTCGCTCACTGTGCTGCTGCTGCTGCTGCTGCTGCTGCTGCTGCCCAGCTTGTGCGTCGCTGCTTCGGGAGCTCGTTTACCGCGCTTTGCGATGTGTTGTCTGTCCTCTTTTGGCAATTTGCTCGTTTCCTAATAGTCGGGAACACGAGACCGTTAGGAGATTCTCGCCGCGTCTCTTCCCCATGAAGAATCTTCCTGTAACCCCGTCAACAATAATCTTTCCGCAACCCCTCCCGCCTGGTTTCCTCCTACTGTGAATACATCTTCCCGTAAACACGTCGTACGAAGCTTCCCGTCAAGTACGGCCGGCTGTTCGAGGCCACGCCTACACGCCTCCCGACGGGGGCGCTTCTGTACGGCCCGCCGGGCTGCGGCAAGACTCTGCTGGCTGGAGCCGTGGCTGCCGAGTGCGGCCTGAACTTTATCAGCGTCAAGGGTGAGGCATGTCGGAGAGAATACTTCCACTGGACCGAGAAGTATCAGTATCGTCAATTGGGTCGACGTCGCGGCGTTTTTCCCTTGTAAATTTCAGTTTTGGGCAATGTATGCACCCGTTCCAGGATGCGGGGTCCCTGGATTCGACTACACTATGAGCACAATCAACTCTCTATCTTTCTGTTTTCTTTCTGGTCACCGCTTCCAGCTCTCTGCAGCGTGCGACGAGCACCCAAGGCCTTGCAGGGATGAAGAAGACCGCTACGTGTAAGCTTGCCTTCTCAGTGCGCCTCAGGGCTTCTACGCCAGCCGACCTTACCTTCCGTATGGTTGTGAATATGGGTAGACTCTCCGTGATGACGTAGATCATTTGTTGCTCGCGACCACCCGCATGATCCCCTCCACCCTCGTCCCGCGAAATCCCGCCTCCCCCCTCTTTCCTCGTTCTCCCTCTTGACCACATTCTGATCTATCCTCCCGTTCACCTCATTCACACGGCTGCTGTCTGTCGCCCCCCCCCCCGCTGCTGGGTGATCCGATCGATTTTTCGTGGCGCGCCAGGTCCAGAAGTACTGGACAAGTACATCGGCGCCAGCGAGCAAGCGGTTCGGTCTCTGTTCGCAAGGGCCGCGTCCGCAGCTCCATGCGTGCTGTTCTTCGACGAGTTCGAGGCTGTGGCTCCACGCCGCGGCAACGATAACACCGGGGTAAGGGTTGGTGATCCACGGGGAGGATCCGGTGACAACCCCGTTTTTTTGGGGGGGCTCCGCTGGTGATGCCGCCCCTGGTAATCGAACTGCGAGAAACGCGTGATTGTTTTCTCCCGAGGCCGCACACGGTCTCCCAGTGTGGTAATATGAGGCTGCTTGGGGAAAATGCTCTCGCATCTACTCGCCCCTGTTTTGCGGCTCCCGCTGCACTAGTATGCTCTGCGTCGACGAGACGCTTTAGCCCACGCAGGCTTCGAGGGGGATCAGCTCCTGTCCGGTGAAAACTCTCCGTTGTTGGTCTAAGACTCGTCATCGACTGATACTCCACCTGTGACAGCGGTAGGGCTCCCACCTTATTTTGATTTTTTTATGCTTCGAATGATGATACTGGCGATGATACTACTGCTCTTGATGATGACACTGACGCTGATGCTGCTGGTTGCCGCTGATGATGCTGACGATACGGCTGCTGCTGATGCTACTTCTACTATCGCCACGCCCAATCATCAAGGTGACCGACCGAGTGGTGAACCAGCTGCTGACGTTTCTGGACGGGGTCGAAGGAAGGGACGGCGTCTACGTCCTCGGGGCCACCAGTCGGCCGGACCTCATCGACTCGGCCCTCCTCAGACCGGGCCGACTCGACCGGCAGCTGTACTGCGGTTTCCCGGACGCCGCCGAGCGGGAAGACATTCTCCGCGCGGTGGGACCTTGTTGTCGTTGTTGATGTCGTTGTTTGTTGTCTTCACATTTTCAACCGTTCCGATCTCTATCCCCCGTGCCTTCATCTATCCGTACTGATCTAACACCTGACGTGGTCGATTCCCACGGTCTCAGGCTAACTTTGACGCCAGTTTTAACGTATCTGCTTGCACCGGGCTTTTTCTCGGTGTTATGTTTGGCACGATGGTGGTAGTGTTGGGAGCATGCGTTTGAAGCGCAACGCCGAGGAGGATGCGCGCTGACGGGCCGATTATTCGTGGTGGATGGCCACCACTCTTGCCGGCGTTAGTTGTCTGCACATGTTCCGCGTGCTGGTAGCAGTCTAGCCGTATCTCTGTCCGTATTGCACCCATTTCACGCGAATGTGCGTGCGACGTGCCAGGCAGACGCATTCCCCCATTCGGCATGAATCCGATACCACCTCCCATTATCAGCGCTTCATTCTGTGGTTTTCATGAGAATTTGGCGGGACCTGGCTCGTTTTTTTCTGCGCCGACGAATGACGAGAGCTATGTTTTCACCGCGTTCCCTCCACCCATTGTATGGCCACTACAATGTAACGTACCGTTTTTCCCGTTGAACCCGTCCTTCCTACGCGTAACCCTGATTTCAGGTGTGCCGAAGGACACCAATGTCTCGGGAAGCTCGCGAGTTCGCCCTCGCGGGCGTGGCCACGTCTCCAAAGGCCGCGGCTTTCACGGGGGCAGATCTGCAGGCTATCATCGACACCGCTCAGCTGGCCGCGATACACTCGTACCTAGAGGTGCAGAGAGTGACCACGGTTCAAGAGAATATAATTAAGATAACCTACCAAATTAGGAGAGTTAAAGTGGCTTGTCCTGACCATGAAAGAACTATGTTGCACAGAGTGCGGTTCGGAGAACACCCAGATCTAAGAGGGTGCTTGTGGCTTGCCCGGATCCTCTGTTTTACCGTAGCGGTTACCATAGGGAGAAGTGCCTCGAAGAGGAGAAGCCTGTGGCCGCGAGAGGGCGGGCTTGTTGTAGCAATGGTTGTTGCTGCTGAACTGATTTAGTGGATGGTCGGTTAGGGCAGGGTGTCGGATGTCGGATCGGCAGGGTATGGCTGCCACCGCTCAGCATCAGCCTCGCATCTTGATGTAGAAGATGGGGTATATTCGGGCACGGTTTTGTCTATAGGTTAAGTCGGCCTGAAACTGGGAACACGTGCGGACCGACTGACTGCGTTGACCTCGAAGCTCGGGATTGTTGTTTAAGGCGACGGGGGGGCGCAAGCGCGGCGGATGAGCATGTAGATCTACGTCAGCCTCGCTCCTTCTGTTTGGTTGTTTGGTTGTGGGTGGTTAGTGTCACCAACGTGTTGAGGTAGGTCAACGGTGGAGTGAAGACATTTTGTTCGCCGGTTGGGGTTTGTGAACGTTGTTAGTGAACGCTGTTTTCCTTGGTCGTCACACCCCGGTACCAACTCACTTTCGCCCCCCGCGCCTCATTGCTTCTGTTTTCGTTTGACTCCATCTTGCTACTTGGTGTTATTTGCGGTGATCAACCTCCTCTCTGCAGGCCCTCCACCCAAAGAGCGATGAGGCGCCCAAGCTGGAGGGGGGGGACAGCGGCACCAAGGGCTTTGGCCAAGGAATGCAGCGCGCTGCGACCGACGGTGGTAGCCGTGGTAGCGGTAGCAGTAGGGCACGAGCGTCAACTGAAGCGCTGGCGGTGGACCTCAAACCTTCCTTGGAAGGGACAGCGGCGGAGGAACGCGGAAGAATTGACACGGGAAGCGGGGCACAGGGAGCAGATGGAAAAATCATTCTAGAGGACGGCTCAGGAAACGATACTGTGAACGGTTTTGGGCACAGTCCGGAGAATGGACCTGGGATCCATCCTTTGGCGAACGTTCCGGCAAGCGGCGCCAGCGCCGGCGTCGATCTTCCAGCCCCAAGACATAGAGATGACAGGACTGGAGGTAAAAAGAGAGGGGGAGTCGAGGTCTCCGCCGACAATGTGTGGGCGGCGTTCTTGTCCACCCGGCCGTCACTGTCGGCCGAGGACCGAGCACGGTACGACTTGGCGTACCGAAAGTTTCGAGGTGGGTCGCGGCCGGCAGAATTTAACCCGATCAGCTCGGTCGATGATGGTACCCTCCGAACCGCCTTGAAGTAGGCTCGCGGTTGATTTACCCATTTCTGGCCTATCTGCCTGTGAATGTTTGCTGCTGTGTTTGGTGGCTGTCGTGGTGGGGGTTGATTTTGCGTGGTGATCGCATGATCTCTTGGGACCACGTCTAGACGAAACGGAGGGGGTTTGGACACGTAGGGCTACTGGCGTTGTTGGTTTACAGGAGTTGATGTTGTTGTGGGTGGGGTTGTGGGTGAGGGTCACTCCCTCATATTGATTCCAAGTGAACGGTATGGAACTGGAGTTGTTCCTGGCGGATTTAGCGTCTTTATGGTGGTGCGATTTTTTCAAGTGAACGGGGATTGTTCGGCCAAGTTGGCGTGCGTGCACGTGAGAAGAGTATCAGTCATGAGGTTTTGACGTGGAAACCCGGGGCAAAACATTCACGGAAGTTGAGCATCCCCATCCACGGCGGAGCCGCTGCAAGGGTAGCTCATCCTTACGCCGTGATGAGGCATGCTCGTCTGGGGCCCAGCTCTTGCGATGTACGAGATATACTGTGAAGAATGGTTCCACAAAAAACCACATTCAAACCGGCGAACTCTATGGTATCTATGGCCGTTTGGCTACATCGAAGATGCACCATAGGACGACGAGCCTCGTGTTCCTTTCACAGTTTGTGGCCGGACACAACTTTGACAATGTGGAACTATTGGTCATGCCAGAACAGAAACAACCAAGACCAGAACGAAACCCAACAGCTACTGGAAATTGTGCAATAGATATGCTTCATTGAGGGGCGGTCGACGTAGCGAACAACGACCACGAATATGCACGATGTGCACCAACAGCCGCCGAAACCCAGCAGGCCCTACGCCGAGAGCACGCAAGAAAGAATGAATCGAGACGCGAGGCGCGTCAATACATCGCCAACCATACCAACAAAGCTCCGCGACGAACTAACCTACAATAGATTGAGACCCAGAACTGTGTATTCCAATGACGAGGCGACCGACCAGCGGAGGCGTAACCTCGACGATTTCGATTCCCGAGATTTGTAGTCTACAGAATCTCACACCCAACACAAACAACCTCCGGCTGCTCGGTTGCTATGACGGGCAATCGATGAGAATCGAAAACATCCGGTTTGGGCGAGAAGGGCCCCCCCACCATTCTTTTCGCCTTCATACTCGAGAAGTTCCGCTCACCAATAGATCGATGATACAAACAGCCCAGGGGTCCAGCACAACACCGTAGAACGAACACTAAAGAGAAAGGGAGGAGCTTTCGCTGAGACCGGGTAATCTTCACTACACGACATGTAATCACTACAAGAACATGTGTCGACGCTACAGGACGAGAAAAGTCCCTCTCAACTAGACGGCGGGTAGACAGGCGCGGTTGTCTCAATGAATCACTTCTGGCCAACATGTGTGTCTCGTTTCTCCCTGTCCTGTGTATATCAAATCAATCTCGCTGGGCCCCTCCACACGGACGGACTACGTATTTCTCGTTGGATTCAGTAGCCGCGGTACCTGTCGCTCCTCAGCAGCCGGCGCGCCTTGGATTCCATCTGCCTCTTCTCTTCCGCCATCGTCGCGAACCTGGCACGAGAACAAACTCGTGTTTGGATTAATGCAACGGCGTATGCTGCGCAACGGAGAAGAGGTACTCCAACAAGAGTATCGATAATTTTATCGTAGCAGAAGCGTGCGGGATTTGAGGGAGAACGGGAGAGAGCATCAGGACATAGAATGGGTCCAGCTTCAACTTGCAGCGAAACACGTGGTACTTTCGACAGCACAGCTGGAAGTGATGGTGTCATCACGTCACCTTTCGCGCGCTGCGAAGCAAACCACGAGGTAGGCATGCTACCGCCGCTCACCTCTCCACGAGTTCAGCGTTCTCCCGCTCGAGCACGTCGCAACGCTTCCTGAGAGCCGAGGCGTCTCCAGAAACGCCAGCGTACTCGTCTTTGAGCGCGCACATCTCCGACCTCAGAGACATCTCGCTGGCTGTGCTCTCGGCCCAGGCCATCTCGTGTTCACGTAGCTTCACAACCTGGTATTGGGAGAGTAAGACTCAATTGTAGCTGTGAACTTTTGTCTTGGTTGTGGGGGGGACCAGCATTGCAAACCCTGTCGACGGAAGGGCCATGATTTGCAATGACTGGAATGAATTGCATATCTCTCTTTTTGACCTGGGGTCCCAAGAATGCTTGAACAACGTATGATGTACGTAGACTACGTTTTGGGGACAAAGTGAATCCCGCTCAGCAATGACTGAAATTTCCCACGCGCATCTACACACTACTGGTACATGTTTTTGTCAAGACGTGGATGGAACACGAAGGAAGCAACTGTTATACCGTATCTTGCGCCAGCGCCAGAGATTCTCTGAGTTCGGTGCATGTGATGTGGCTCTGTTCTAGCTTGCGGGTGCTGTGCGCGACCCGCCTCTTCTCAGCAGCCAGCTCCTGAGATAGCTCCTGCGTGTTTCGTTCAGAAAATGTACACACGCATAGTCAATGCTCCAACTAAAGCCGCTCGGGTATTGAGTTAATGATTGTTGCTTCACTTCGATATCAGCTAGGTTTACTAAATGACTCGTCCATTCACATGACACGTGACCCCTTATTCTCCCTTCACTTTTGGTGCAAGATTTCGAGATATTGTGAGAACAGTGCTTCGAGGTACCCGACCCTCCTCGGCATTTACTCCCGATAGATGGATAATGGTATTTATTCACTCAGAACGGAATAGTTTTTTCTCATGATAGCCGGACGACATAAAGTTGTTTCGCGTCTGGAAGAGACGGCGGCTTGCAAACATTACCTCGGTTGCCCGTAACAGGGAGCGGATACATGGGTACGCGAATTTCAGCCAACCCCCTTCCCTGTCACCGATCCGGTTCCAGTGCCATGACCTTGACCCGCGAAATATCTTTCTGAACATTATGTTACTCAGGTGTGATGCACTGCCATATGGAGACTACACCAAGCTGTTAGAAAACCCCTCGTACTCTCACTTCGTTGTGGGCGGCGGTTCGCCTGGCCATTTCGATGAACTCCGCCAGCCTGGCCATCACCTGATGAAGCAGACGGGATACACGGGCTGAGTCGAGGAATAGACACACATACTGTCAGTTGAAAGAAAGAGTCCAAGAACTGAAGGTAACCACCCACGGGCGGACAAAACAAGAGGGTTTGCCCCGTCAGGAAGTTCGAAGGATCGGCACTTGACTATTGGACAGAGTGAGGTCGCCCCCTCGAATTTGTGTAGACACCATAACATGCCACCTCTATACACGAGAATCGGAAGGTGAGGATGGTCACTACCAAGAGTCATCGTCGTCATCGAGCACTGCTGTAGGATGCCAAGCGCGAGATAAGACCGCTCCGACGAAGAGACACATGATGAGAGCAACCGTGGGGGATTACGGAAGGAATCGGCACAAGCGTGCGTACAAGCTGCAGAGGGGAGTTAGTGCGGGGGCAATGGTGCTGACATGCTGGACGCGCGTCCTGTCCTGGCAACTGCGTAACACGTTTGTTGAGGGTAACGGGACTTGGAGGCAGCGTCAACGAAAGGTGTCGTCCCCATACCGCGGTACCTTTCACCGGACGAAACATCGCTATCGGCTCTTTCAAAATTGTTTTGCTGTTGTATGGATATGCCATGGCACGACCATCAGCACGTGTCTCGATTACGAAGAGCCAGGCAACCTGACATAATGTATTGAAAAAACAGCGCTTTCACCCGGAGGTATCATAGCAGCCGAGGCCGAGATCGAGCAGTGACACGCACTCCTTCTTCAGAGCACGAACGTTTTGCCTAAGGACATCACAACACTTTCCATATGGGCTCAGGTCACTCACACCCTCATCCGTATCCGTGAGGTCGTCATCGCTCGTTGCGGCTCCTGCAGCTCTTGACGCGGTGGCTGGAGCAGGCACAGACTTCGTGCTGGGGGTAGGGCAAGCTGTTTTACCCGTGCCCAAGCTGGCATTCCTTCGGAAATCGGCACCATTCTCAGGCGTTGTACCGTCCCTACCGTAGGATGCGCCCATAATTTCGGACTTGTTGGTCAGGGCTTCCCTGCTGTACTTCAACTCGCCGTCGGCGCCAGTGGATGTGGTTGCAACATCGACGTCGGCTGCCGCCCGTGCTTCGACTGCCGCGGCGGATGCGAGCAGTCTGCTGGACGACTCGGTACGGAAGGCGGCGGCGGCGGCGGCGGCGGCGGCAGCGGCAGCGGCAGCGGTGGAAGTACCTGTGCTGCTCTTTTTTCTGCTGCCGCCGCTGATGTTGGTCTGAAACGCAGTGTCCCACGAACGCGTGGGTCGCGGTGCGAGCCGATTGTCGAGCAAAGCACCCGATGACGAAGGTCTGGTCGATGACGCTGACGACCTCGACGGGGTTCCACGCTCGTGGTATCCCGCCGCTGGAACCGCCGTTGCCCCTCCAGCATTGAATTGCTCACCTGCTCCAGCGATCCCACCGCCATCGCAAAGCGCGTCGGGGGAAGAGAGGGAAGGTGACCCAGACCGTGACTGCTGTTGCTGATGCTTGTCCATGCTCCGGGGTAGTCGCCCTCGCCGACGAACGAAGGTTTTTCGTTGCAGCACAAGAGTGAAAATTGCTGAAACACGGCCGGCTCTGTTCCTGGTGTCCGTGGCTACCGGGGGAGGGAATCGGACTGAGCCCAAGTATGCGAATGGAGGTGGAACGGGAACCAGTACCAGCAGCAGCCACCGCAGCAGCAGCCATAGCAGCAGCAGCAGTCATAGCAGCAGTGAGACCGGAAGCGAGGTGATGGTGGCGACGATTCACTGTTGTGTTGCAGTATGTATGTAGTCTACATACGTCGACGTGCTCTAGTGAACAATGAACCCCGGGCCGTAGTTTCGGGAGAACGCCTACATCTCATACCTACGAGATCTTAGCACTATCGCAAGACCAACCAAGAACTGCATCGGGATGTCGCAATTACCCTACGCAGTTTGCGGCCGGTGATTGGTGTGGGAACAGCGCGGTCATGTAGTCTGTGCATTGGGTGTAAAAAAAAATGTCAGCCAAAATGTCCCCTCACAGGTAAAAACCAAGATAATTTTCGTCGCGAAGGCTAACATGGGTGGCTGTCGGCCATCCGCAAAGAAGAATGCATACATCTGTCGCATGTCTGGCTCACCGCTTTGGAGACGCGTGTGCTGTTGCGCTCGCTGGTCGTCTCGTGTGTCATGTGTATGTGTGCTCTCACGCTATTGGGGCCCCCGCAAATTGTTGTTGCAGGTTTGGATATTGTCAGGCGTGCTGGTTCGAATCCATTTCCTTGGTTCAGCGGTTACAGAATTTTCTTGGTTCTCGGGCCGACTCCAACCTCTCGCACAAACCAGAGAGCTCGAGCCGGCTGCGGCTACTTGGTTGAAAGAGCTGTCAAGTACCGACGTGGCTGTAAAGCACATCCTGTGTACGAGATAGGTGAGTTGTACTAGACAAAATGTGTCATCATACCGTTTCTCTCCCGATCATCTCTTTCTCAAGTACACACGGTTTGACCTATGCATTGCTCGTCACACTACACAGTACTACAACGGTATATTGTACTGCTGTGCAGTGCAAGTACTGCCGAGGATCCATGCAAGTACCGCATTCGTTGAGAGAACTTTTCTGAGTCTACTGCCTGTGTGTTTACACTGCGAAGTTTGAGCCCATCGTCAAGAGTTCCAGCTATCGAGTGTTACAGCATGCTGACGGTGCTACTGTACGCATCGACCCTTCCTTGTTGGAAGCACCTCGCCGAACACGGTACGTCATCCAGTGTCAACGCCCCACGTCCTGCAACACACATACATACGCAGCCCTGACCGGGCTGAAAGAGTTGCATAGCATAGAGTGTGCGTATCCGGTGGAGATACGTCGTTTAGGAATGGAAGCACCAAAGTCAACATTGTAGAGAGGTTTACGGGAATGCCGTGTACAGCTCTCGCATGTGCGACGAGGAGCAAGATGTCTACCAAGACTTCGACAACCCCGGCTCGCCAACATCCGCGCTGCCACCAAAACCAACGACAACGCCGCCACCACCTCCACGGAGCAGCATAGAACATCCCGATGGTACTCATGTTGAAGCAACTGGTGACTTTAGATTCACACACGGGGAATGGTTCAAAGGGCCTCAGTTGGCGTGTACGAAGCTGTACAAGCTACTCCTTTCGGTGCCCTTTCTGTCCCATAGCTGCAACAGCCATAGTATACAGAGATGCCACACATCCTAGAGGAAGCTGTCATGAACCCCACTGTGGTGCGTGGGGCACCCCCGCTGACGCCGTCAGGCACGGTACCCATCGCACATCAGCAGGAATCATGACAGCTGCCAAAGAGTGTGCGGCATCTCTGGATTCTGACTGCTGCGGATGTGTATCAGAACAGGCATTGGGATGAGTACTGTAGCTCCGGACACCAAGTGCACAACTGAGCCGAGCCACTTATGATACCCGAGTGTGTTTCTGAAGTCATCAATTGCTTCTTCATGAGCACCGTCTGGAGTGGGAGTTCGGAGACTTTTTTTTGCTGCTCCGAGAAGGCGGTGGCGGCGTTATCGTCGGTGTTCGAGGAAGCGCCGGTGTTGTCTCCGGCCTTGCGAGGTCGGGTAGAGCTGTTGCTCCTCGTCGCATTCGGTGGCTTCACCATGGTCCTCGTTGTGTAGGCCATTGTGCTTAGCCGCCATGGCATGAAGATGACGCTCTTGGGCTGGTTTCGTGCATGACTGCTGCTGGCGCCAATGTGGTTTTCGTGCTACTGTAGAGTGCTGCAGAGGAGAATGACGAGTTCTCTTGCGGTTAGAAAGGTGCCCTCACGACGATGGAAGTGGGGCCCGTGTAGGAACTCATGAACAGTATGGGCAGATCTAGTGATACGAGAGAAATGTGATAAGAGGGGGTGAGACGAGGGGGGGGGTTGTCATCGACCATCGAGGTCACGAAAGGAAGTACCTCTTCACAGGGAACCTAGAAGATTTGGACAATCCACTCGGAGGGTGTATCCCGCTGACGTTGGGCGATACAGGCAGACAGGTATGTAGGTGTGCTGGTTCAGTACACCAAAGCCCCACACCACGGCAAAACATTGCGTCGTACACCTTCCCTCAACATTTCCGTAAAACAAGGTAACATCGCAACAAGAAGAGTCCATTGAGGAACGGGTACCGAGGAAGCTGTCTCTACTTTCTGCCACGCATGAAAGTCTTGGCACTGGGAACGAAAACATGGCGGCCGTCGAGCAGCCAACGTCAACAACGTATGCCCCGTTAAGCGACGCCGATGAAGGTCTACCCCGCCCAGAGAGCAGGAGCAGAAGCACAAAATCTCCGCGACTCAACGGCGCCGACGCGGTACGGCGGGACAGCACGACCCTGCCAGAGATACAGATGGCGCCGCCTGTCGACGGGGGAGAGACGGGGCTCCTATCGCAGCGCAATCTCGAGCAAGTCCCTAGAGCCATGAAAGAGCTAGCGCCTCTGGTCGCCATGCCTCCGCCGAGCGACGCCGCCGTTCACAGCAGGCTGGCCAAGCACCGCTACAGCCGGCTGGGACGGAACCTCCTCTTTGAGGCGCGACCAGCGGTGAGATGAATGGTTCCAAGTAGAAGCAACATCAGTATTCCAGAATTCCCAATGCCAACGAAAAAAGGGATGTAAAATGCAGAAGCGAGCGCTTGCAAATCTTGGCTGGCGTTTTGGCCCAAAGGGGCGGCATCTTGGGTCACCCTGCCAGTGCTGTAGCCTTTGCCCGGTCGGGATCCCTACCTGCTGTATTCTGCACTAATATGTGGCATCATTCATCGTCGTGCGATCACAAGTAGTGAACGCTTACTGCAGCCCGTATCGATTATTGTGTGAAGAGGGTCTGGCTCCAGCCCACTTCAACACGACACTGGTCGGCGGGTTAAGGCCCTTCAGGATTCGAGATCGCAGGATGCTGCGAAAACGTCCATGCCACCCTTGCTTCCCACAACGTCTTGGATCTTGTACACTCTCCGACAACACCAAAAAAGGTGGTTCATTTCGGAGGTTACGTCCTGGGCAGGGCTCACTCTCAGTGCGTTCGAGTCGTCAACATCTCTCGCACCTCGCAACGCCTGCACATCCTGGGGCCTGCCACGGACAACTTCAAGGTGGGGCCACACTACTCGTACCAGCGATATACGTGGAGGGCAGTAGTGGCACATGGAGCTTGCAAAGTCGTCTAGAAACAGATCTGATTATATTCTTGTATTGGTTGGGCTTGGAATATTTCGTCGAGAATCACAATTTGGGCTCTGCTTAAGATGTAGGCAGTCCGGCCTTGGCACACTGGAGCCACTCGCAACAAGGGGAAACGCACCGGAAACGAAGAAAACAAACTACTCAGGGGTTTCGCGTGTCGTTGGTTTTTCCTCGTTCAGATGCGGTGCAACAAAAAGGGGCTCGTTGCCCCTGGATCGAGCGAGGTCATCACCGTCGACTTCCACCCTCGGGAGCACCGGTACCACTACGACTGCTTGCGGCTGCACACGGACTCCGAAAACCTCCTCGTTCCTCTGCACGCCTACCCGGTGAGTGGTGAGGTAGGGGGGAGCTGGGACGCACGTTGTGGAGGGCACTGCCCGTCCGGCTGCAAGGGAGTGCGCGTCGGTGAGCAGTGGCTGTCGAAACGTTTGCCGCTTTGCCGGCTGTCAAATACTGTTAGTAATAGCGGTCGGCTAGTGTCGATGTTCTGTTTTGACCTAACAGGCTACGCGTTGATCCGAGAACCTAGCTCTATTGAGCACCCTGGAATGATATCGCAAAGGCTGTTAAAACACAGTCTGATCGTGTTTCGGCTGGTGTTGCCCCACAGGTGATGAACGACGTAATTTTCCCGGAGCGCCTGGATTTCGGCGTGCACGCGCTCGGCGAAACCGTTCGCCGCGTCGTCAAGATGGTATGCAAGGTATGTTGTCCTTTCGCCACGGGCGATTTACAACGGGTAGCTTCGCTGGGTGCGGTTCGTATGATTTTCATGATGTTTGGCCAGTGCTGCGTATGAAACAGGTTGCTTCGATGCTCCGAAGACATGACCCATCTCTCCAACTGGCACCTCAAAGTACACCTCACTCTCCCTGGTCTCTACTCGCCTCTCCTTTCGACTGCCGCTAGATCCAGCACAGCTCAGCCTCCTTATGTAGGCTATGTTCTAAACAACAATCTGGCGAAGTAAATGGCGCTGGCCCTCCGTACCCGCGGACGACGCCCCGGTCTCGATGCAGGTTCCTATCCAGTTCGAGTTCGAGATAGAGGTCACCAAATCTCACCCGCATTTCAAGATTGATCCTCTTCGCGGAATGGTGCCAGCGAACGGAGCGGTTGAGGTACTTTGCGACTACACTTCCCCACTTCGCCAATGTTTCTTGGGTTCCTCCGACTATATCCTGCTGTGGGCAGTGTTGGAAACGGGTGCATTTGCACGGATAGAGAGTTTTCCTGCGTTTTTGCCTCTGTGACCCCCACTTTACCAAATCTCAAGCATCCGCTCCAGACATGTACATTGAAACAAACCATGCAAGAACATTCTCGAACGTTCTCTTCGCATGCAACAGGTGCACATCGAGCACACACCCGTCAGCGCCAGCTCGGCCGAGATGCACCTCCTCGTCAGTGTCTCACAGGTGATTACAGCCGAGTCCTAATAGTCTCCTGAGAAATGCATTGCGATGATGAAGTGGTAACTCCATCCCAAGGAAGTCGTACTGGATAAGACAGGAGCCGTTTGATGGCGGATGTTGCGGTCCACACTCTTGTCAAGAGTCGTGTGAACACCATCGGAAAATCAGCCCCCTGGAGCGAACGAACACATGAATCAATGCCCTCGGGAGACCGCTCCAGGCCATTCACACGCCAACACTCAACCCGAAGAAAACTCGGACTCGGAACTCACATAGCTTCATGGTATGGCTACGCTAAACCGATGTAGCTCACTACCATCTCACTACCATCTGTGGCATCTCTGCTAGGCGTAGACAACGGTTTCTTTCTTGAATATGATGGGCAGTCAATACGACGCCACACAAGCGGGGGGCGAGAGTAATTCGTCTCCTTCTCCGCCGTGCTTCTCTCGCGCTCTCCGAATAGTTCAACTTCACGCCCATCGTGTGCGTGGTAACGGGAGCGGGTCGGCCCGGTGTAGTCAGAGAGACCGCCCTCGACGCAACGGCATCAAACCTCGCCGAAGACAACGCCTTGCAAGACTCCCTCGGCCCTTGCCGGAGCAGCCGCGCGCGCGCGCAAGCTCGCAGGCTACGCGGCGAGAGAGATCGAGAGCGGCAGCACCATCGACAGCCGCACCGGTGGGGGCGTGACGCGGGTTCTAAGGGGAGCTTCAACACGGGAAAAACGCGGGGCCATGGCGCCGGTTACGGTGACGGTAGTGGTACCGCCGCCGCTGACGGTGGTGAAGATGGGGAGGGTTTCCAAGCTGCTAGGAGAGTTAGAGGGGCGGGTGTACGAAGGGGGAGGGGGACGGGTGTTTCGGCGGCAGAGGAAGGATTGGAGGCGAGGCGGGTGGAGGCCGGTGACGCGGAGGATGGCTATGGGCTCGATGGCGGTGTCGACGATAGATATCTGGCGACTGCCGGGGAGGGTGCTGACTTGGTGAGACATGATTTGCGCGATCATCGAGGAGGACGGAGGCACAGTAGCGGTGGAAAATATCTTCTCGATAAATCGCTCTGTGCTTTCCTGCTTGCGACATTGTGAGGATTGTGGCGATTTTTTCGCTAAGACAGTTTATCGTGTGTACTGAAAATCGAAACTAGAAACGTGCTCCTACGTCCATACCAAAAGAACAAGACCTCCCGTGCACCTCAGGGGAGTTAGTTGACATCGTCGACACTGCACGAAATATCGTCTAAAAATATGCGGCACGTTACGCTGTACGTCAGGCGGTACTTGTCAGCACAGCATGATCGTCGTCTCGCACATTTTCGTGAGGGCAAAGGCAACGCAAGATACATTGTTTGGTACGCCTTAAGCCCCCACCCAGCCCCCCTACTGTCATGAATTGACACAAATGCAACGGGACATTGCGGTCGACGCGTTGGCCAAGCGAATTGCCTCGCACAGAAACCAGGCCTTCATCTGAGGCCTCCGTTTCCACAAAGGTGAACGGTCAACGAGGATCCCGTCCCGAGCAAAAAACCACGTTGGATATGGCAGTAATGTTGGCAAGGAATTGCAGCTCTATCGTCAAGCCGACACAAACCCCTCCTCCTCCTCTGTCTGCGTCCCATGAAACTCAACACAGGTGGACACGTGGGGCATGAGGCCAGCATCTGCGGAACATCACCCCTACGGTACGGGAAAAGGCTCCGGGGCGGTGTTCGACGCTGGAGGGGAGTGGCTGGCGGCTGAAAAAAGAGGGGAAATGAGGCGACCGGTCGAGCCATGGTACGATGAATGAAGTCATAGCCGAGGGAAGGTTCAGTGCTCGTCTAGAAATCGCCTGCATGCCACTGCACCCCTGCGACACGAGCAACACGCAGCGCATCGTATCAAAAGGATTATCACCGCTGGCTTTCATACGCCTCCTGGCACTAAAGGGCGCTGCGGTGAGCTTTGGCGTTTTCGAAGTCAAGCGACCGCGGCAACGGACGAGCCAGGTTATGCACGGCATTCCTGTTCCTCCTCTCCGCAAACGCCTGATCAACGGTCTCGGGTTCTTTTTGTCTGTACCTTCCCCTGCCTTTGAATGTTTTGGCGCGCGAAAAGGGTCCCGCCAACAGAAGGCAGCGTGTTCGGATCGACCGTGAAAGGTCCGACTAAGACAACCGTCGTCGAGGGTCTTGTGATTCCCTCCCGCCTCGACACCGTACAGGCTACCAACTTCGTTCTCACCCAGCAGGCGAGAGATTACGTCGTTCGATCTACTTCCAAGACTCTCGCTGGTTGTTATTTCCGAATGATATTTCGTTTGGTTCCTGCCGCCGTGCGTGCCGACGAAATGCACGGTCGATTTCGACATGTATAACTTCTTGCGTTCGACACGGTAGTCCACGCCGCGGAGCTGGTGGTTTGTCTCCCTGAAATATGGCCGACAGGAGATTCCGAAGAATCGCGCGAGATGAAGTGGATAGATTGTTGAAAACAACTGGTTGGCGGGCACCAGAGATAAGGTGTCCTGTTGTGTCCGAATGCTGTGGATTTGAACTAGACCTGGCCGTACTGCACTTCGAATTGAACTGTACAGTACTTCGGAAACTGGCCGGTAGGCGTGAGGATACGAATAAGAGTACATGAATGAACCAAGTATACATATATTTCTGCGTACACGAAGACACCAGTCGCGTCGTATCCCTTTTAGCGTGCACCCTGCTTCTTGCTCGTGGCGTTATTTGTTTGTTGCTGCCGGCGATTCTTTCCAGCCGGGGAAGCTGAAACCAAAGGATCTAAAGGAGGCCATCAGGCGTACCCGCGCGGAACGGCAGCGGCAGCTCCAGGAGCAAGAAGCCCTTCGCTCTCTCACTCTTACGGCATCCACCGAGCCTGACCATGACGACGGAAACGGCGGCAGTGGGCGAAGGAGCGGTCGTGGGGATCCGAGCCATCCGGGGGGCCGCCAGATCGCTGACACTCCCGAGGGGGAGCGTGGCTTGCAGCAGGAGCGACTGCAGCAGCCGGCGCAGCTTGGGGGCAGGGCGATCTGCGCTTACCTAGCAACAGTTGTAGACGGGAAGAGCGGGGCGGCAACGAGGCAGCTAAAGGAGATGTCATTCTTACAGGACTTGGCGGACACGGAGTCGGAGGAGAGAGACAGATCTTTCAAGGTGAGCATTGGAGCTCGTTTCTGCCACACGTCGGACTACAGTATCAACCGGCCGCAACTAGTCGGGTTGGAACGCGTTTTGTGTGGGCATGTTTTCGTGCGTATAATTGGGTCCGTGCTATATTAATTTGGTATCCGCCGGGAGATTCAACCTTCGTACACTTTCCTTTTCCCGTGCGATGAGCTAAACTCGAGGGGTGTCATATCGAGAGCTTGGCGCAGATGCTCATTCCTCTGGTCGGTCTGGCACCACATCAATGTTGCGAGAACTTGCAGCGAACGGCGATGGATGCCACAGACCGCAGCGGAAGGATGGAACTAATTCCGATCATGACCGCATTCCAATGGTTCATTTGAAAGCTGCACCCGATACAATATTCTTTCCGTTTGCGTACGTCCCACCTCTTGGCGCCTCCATTCACTGGACGTGTGTGCCTTCCTCCCACATCATCGAAAGAATATTGTTCCTCAACTCTCCCCTCCATAATCCGATCGCTTCCTTGCCATTGTCGTGTATCGAATGACCTTGTGCCGGGATCAGGCGAGCGTCGAACACGTCGGCGAACCCTTGCTATCCCAGCGAGAGGTGGAGAGAGTCCTGGAAGAACAGAGACGGGGCGAGCAGGAGTTGTTGCGGAGGAGGCGCGAGAAAGAACGGGAGTCTCTTCAAACTTGCCTGAAGGGGCCCAGTGAAGTCGGGGAGAGGTGTGCCATGTGAACGAAGCGGTCCATGTTGCTTCGTACCCGCACAGTGTATCCGAGTACACACAAATGATCTTAAAATCCCGGTATTACCATCTATTTTCTTGGTCAATGGGGAGAAGGACCTTTGGCTTTTGTCCAGGTACAATCGTGCCGCCCACCGCTCTGGATCTCGGCGGTTTCGTCTTCCCTTCTTTTCGTCGTTGTCGACAAATCGCAGAGCTCCAGCCGTGTGTAAAAATACCAGAGGAATGCGAGACACGTCGTCAATAGCATCACGCTCCCAGTTCACTCACTTGAACACTACTAGATTCTCTTGTGCGTTATATTCTGAACAGGGGACTTGCTCCCCGATGATTCGCAGGCAACATCGTTCTCCATACCCCTTTACCACAATGCTCCCTCGTTGTGCTTGCGCTAAAACCCAAGGTGTGCAAGAGCTTCGCTGCTGTTCACCGCGGAAGGCACCCAAGGGGTCGGTTTCCGGCACAAGCCTGACTGGGACTTGTACAAGAACGACGACTGGGGGAGGCGGAGGGAGGTACTTCGGCGCCTGGTCAATCTGGTCGGCGCCTGGATTATTCGGAGAAGGGCCGGAAGGCGACTTGGGGCTATTCAGGCACGCGATTGTAGCATTGGTTTTGTGCGTCAAGACTGCTCGAGACGTGCCGGTGCTGCTAGGGTGTTCGACACTCACTTGGTTGGCATGCCTTTCGCTTTCTGTGTGGTGGACAGTACTTGCCCAGTGTTGCACGTATTCTAGACCCAAGCTCAAAGAACAGGTGCAAGATTCAAGGGCATGACCAGTATCATGAACACGACATTCAAAGCGTTGCGTTCATCAAACGTGATTCACTTCGCACGAAACCAGATCGGTCACGCCTGCTGAACGTCTTTCATACGTTTTTTTGCGGGAGGATTGTATGCTAGACCAAGCTGTAGAGTGGCCGGGCAGACGATACTTTTGTGGGCCAGCAATAGGACATTTCTTGGTTCAAACTGAGGGGGCAATGCGATTGGTTTCTCAAGTGACCGAATCCTCGAAGTTTTCGCACTAAACTCAAGTGCCAGCATCTCCAGCGATTCGGTGGTTGTTTCCTAACTGTTCTGGCGTGAAAGTGCCCGTCAACCGTACTACTGACCCTTTGTCTCGCATGTTAACAGGCTCGACTAAGCGGTCTCCGGGACAGGGCGCAGGTGGCGGAGATGGTGGAGCGCGACAACCACGAGGTGGGCAGAAGACGTTGTAAGGCAACGAGAGTTATTGCGGTAGTGGTGATGGTGGTGGGTGCAGTACCACTGTTTTCTCTTGTACCCTCATCTGCTCAACACGTCAAAAAGGGACAAGTTCCAGACACAAACGGTCAAGTTCACTCCGAACCGTAGTAAGTATTCCTTGGAACCGGAAACATCCCATGCATAACCTCTGGATCTACATATTTGTCATGTACTACATACACAAACTCCCGTTGCATTGTACATGAAATCGGAAACACCACACCCCCCCCAGGTACATTTTCATTTCCTCACCCCTTTCTTCGTACCCATCATGGGCTGCTTCGCGTTCTTCATGCAACGTTTTAACGGGTGATAACCATCCAGTGTCCCGAGTGTTAACGACCGTCGGCTCCTAGGGTTGAAGCCCATGTGGAATACCTAAGCAGTTCTGGTCCCCAAACGTGCGCTAGTTCTTCAGCGTTGTTTGCTTCATGCGATGGGGTCTCTACTGCAAGGTCTAGGCTGACGGTAACTTTCGACCTTTCATGTCCCCCTCTAGAGCGCCGCAACCAAGCCGTAACAAATTCACCAAATCGCCCCATTGCACCGCCCACACGCCCGTGTGTCACACGATCGTAGGCAAAACTTAGCGCTGGGCCTCTGGCGGGCACTTCCCAAGAGTCCTGGAAACCCATCGCCGACGGGGGATCATCCGCGAACGAGAACAACGACTACGGTGGAGACGACGGCGGCTGGGAGTTCCCCGATCTCCTGGTGACGTCAGAAGCGCTTGCGGCGGAGATGCTTGCGGAGTCGTCCGCAGTAAGAACGACAATGGGCACAGGCAGCAGCGGGACACATGGGAGCGGGGGAGGAGAAGGAGGAGATGGGCAATACACGAGACATTCGGCGGCGCCGCCACCCCCGCCGCCGGAGTTCCAGCTGTCTGCTGAAGACGTCGACCAGTACAGGTTGGGTTGGCTTGGGTCCGGATCTATCGCGTTTTTTTCGCTCTCAGTTTTCATGGTTTTCGCCCTCAAGCTTTCCGGCGACTATATCCGCGGCGGAGGGCCCCGCCCGCAACGGGCAGCGGCTCATGAGTGAATAAGAGTTGTCGCTCAACAACTGCTTCGCGCCATCCTTCGACACCTGTAGTACGGGCACCGCAGCAGACGACTAGCCACGAGGCACGGTCTCGCGGATGATGCCGACAACGGTATCAGCTAGAAACCATCGAGGTCATGGAACTCGTCGTACAAACATATTTTCTCCGGATTGTGATGCAGGTTTCCTATCTACGACGAGGGGGCCGCACTGTCTAGGAGAGAGGAGGTGGTGGACCCGGTGGGACCCCCGAGCGACTTTGTGGACATCGATCTATTGCCTCTGAAAGAGCCGGAGGTGAAAAGACGCGTCCTCCGCAGTACCCCCGTAAAGTATTTGGGTTAAACTGAGTAACCTCTTGTGCCACACGGTACACGATCGTCTTCCATTGGGGTACTCAGAGCGAGGCGACACGACGCCTGACCCACCCGCCCTTCTAACACGTGTTTCCGCCTGCACCCTTACCGTACACAAACGCTTCATTGGCGACCGGTCCAAGAGTTTACGGACAATAGTCTACAACTCCCCCCGCCAATGCGGATCGCTTCGCGAACAATCTCAACACTATCGCGCACCTGCTTCGCCGCGCGGCGCTTCACTTATCGCACCACGCGCGTAGGAGGGAAGATCCATGGGCTACGTAAACGTCAATCCTCCCGGGCTAGGAACATACCCGAGCATTGAGACGTCGCACCCGCTAAGGTGGTCCGCGTTCGAAGAGTGTGGTGTTCGACAGGTAGGGCTGTCGTTGCCCACCACCTTTGGATACTACAGTACTCGTTTGACAACCGAGCTTGGGTTATGTCCCATGAAAATTATGCGTTCTTCGAGGAATTAGCGTCGCACGACCAACAAGACGCGTTTTGCCGTATGTATTCGCCCGGTGCTGAACCAATGTAGAAGCTATTTTCACTGGAAGCGCGCGCTGCTGCGGAGCAGGAGACCAACGAGCAGCGACGTCATGTGCAACATGCCCCTACCAGTCCACCCCAACAACTACATTTCCATCCTAACGCTACCCCCACCATCATTCAATCAGCCGAGAGACGAAGAAGCAGAAGAACGAGGAGATGGAGAGTCGGATCTGTCTGCCGAGTTCGGTCGGAATGCGTCCAGTAACGGTGTCCGTTCTGCCTCTGGGTGGCGCCAGGGGCTGTCCACGACCGAGCGGCGGCCAAGCAAGGCTACGCTTGGGAGAAGACGGAGTTCTGTCGGGCTCAGGTGAGATGGCAGAATGTGAAGGGTAGGAAGACTTGACGTTTCGGGGGTCCATTCCATTGTTTCCTAAGCAGTTCTCCCTTACGTGTCTGCCGAAATCTTTGGCGAAGAGGACAAGGAAAAGAAGAATGACACAACAAACTAGCACGGGTCTGTGCTGGGTGATAATGACAACTGTGAATACGCCTACCTATCCGGCGGCGACGACGACGACGACGACGACGAAGAAAAAAACTGACACGTCGAACTGACGCAAAACACTCGGCAGGATGATCCCTGACACCGCCGACAACGTCGAGGAGGCTTGGCTTCAAGCAGCAGAGGCTGGGCTCACCGCTCTGGCAGCTGAGGCGGAAAAAGTAGACAGAATGCCAGATTCTCTGCTACTCCGTCCACCTCCTCCCGATGGCGTGGACCTGATAACACCCGACCCCAGGTATGCAAGGTGTCCCCTCACTAGAAACCGATTCAGCCTTGAGGCGGCCTGCCGATTGCTAGGCGGAGGGGGGGGGGGGGGGTGACGTGTAGTGAGAAACGTAGTTGCTTTGGGCTGTGGTTGTTCCACAGATTGCCCCAGTTCCAGATCTATTCAGACGTTGGGGTTTCATTCGGTTGGGGAATCAAGGAGTCCACGTAGTCCACAAGGGTCACCTGCCTCATCATGGCACGAAACAAGAAAAACGCGATGGTACACTATCGCACCCTGCGTGCACTGGGCAGCAGCAAGGAGTGAGGCAGGCATGTTCTCTTCGGTTCTGAGGTGCCATCTAGTTGAGGCTTGGTTCCGACATTATTGTTTTGTCCCCCATCGCCGTGTGTCTACCGGACCCTTAAGGTATAAGGGGTTCCTGCCCGAGCTCCCAATAGATGAGGCCAGCCCGGAGTGGTGCCTGCGTCCGCAAGAGATCCCACGGGAGGTGAGATAGCTGTTCTTCCAAGCTCACAGGTACCTACAATGCCTGCGTCTGACGGGCGCTCTGCGTCCAATCACAAGCGCGTGCTGGATTCCACGAAAAATCCACGACCCGGCGGTGTGAGACCTACCTTCGGGTGAAACGGAAAATGTTTCTGAACAGAGCATCAGAGCCAACACACTATGACAAAATCCATTTTCCGCTTCCTGTGTTTTTAGAGTTTTGTTCTGTCCTTTGTGCATGTGAGTGTTTCAATTATTGACTCTCTTGCGCATGTGCGTATCGACTTCTTCATGGTACATCGCTCATCACGGGCAAGTCCTCGCCAGAGGGAGTGACCAACCCTCTGCCGCAATGCTTTCTTGGCCGTTCGATAGGTCCCCGTCACCAAGGGCCTCCTTCTAGGATACTCGCCGGGCACCACCACGCTCCGTGCCTACGCCAACGCGCCTCGCCTCTCTAGCTTCTGGAAACCCAAGCGCGAGCGTCGCTCCTCCGGCCTGGCGTGCATGAGCGGACAGGCGTCCAGAGGCGTGTGGCGACCCGCCCGAGCGCCACCGCCGCCGCCGCCGCCGCCGCCGAATTGGCGCGGAGATGAAGGAAACGGCGTTCGGGGCACCCGCGTTGTCGGCGGTGTCGGAAGCGTTCTTAACAGAGCGTCGCCAGGTGACGAAGCTCCTGCTGTGCGTCGCAGGGGGGGCGACAACACGTTTAGGCTGGCCGCCGACCACGCTACGGTCGCGGCCGCCGCCGGGGATGAGCTTAGCGACAGCGAGAGTGAGGACGAGGAGGACGACGCCCCGATGCCCACTCCTGCCGACGCTCGAACAGTGTTTGACGACACGGTGGCAGGGCGCGTCGGGGAAACGGGAATGTCTCTGAGCGGCAGCAGCTACACCGACCCCCCTCTTAACAGCGACGGTGATAGTGCCGCTTGTGTCAAACGCGAAGGAAGGCTCGGCGGGGATGTGGGTGGAGGAAAGGTGTTCGCCAGGGATAGGGCCACGGCGGCCTTGGAAGACGCGCGGAGAACGAAAAGACTCAAGGACGCCGAGAGGCTAGCGGATAGCATGGTCGCCATCGGAGCAGAGGTAGGTTTACCCGTACATGTGCCGAGGGTGACGACCAGTTTTTTTCACCCACGACGACTGGGAATATGAGCAGCAGAGGCAGCCCCTTTGCTAGCCAGAAGTGTTCCCTATGCACAACAGTAAGGGAAATTCTACAAGCCGGTGTGTGATGCCGAAACGTGCTTGGTTTTTCATATGGCCTCCCAATGTGTAGGTACGTTTCGGCTGTCCAACATCTTCGTAGCACTGCTTGATACCGATGTCGGGACCGCACATGTGGCAAGTGAAACGTGACAATACATGAAGAAGTACCATATACGAGTTGTGGGACTGAGAAGCCCATGGGCATACGGAAAACAGTGCACGGCTCCTCACGCCCCCTCCCCAACCCTGAATATGAACGGTGGTGGAGATATGTAGGTTAGATAATTTCGGAAGGGTTGGAAAGGGTGATTTCCCCAATGGGAATGTTCACGGTAGATTGCATCCGGTCAGGCACCAATGAGGCCTGATCGGGGTTTACCAGCACCCGCAGAGGTGGGAATGACGGCTGATGGGTTCAAACAATTAGAACCCGTCGCCACCACGACGCCAGAAAGTGCAGAAGCCCGCCTGACCTCCCCCTTTCGTACGATAGCCACCCATGTTGCGAATCGTTCCCGCGCGCCTCACGTGTGTACTTGGTACTGTGCGCGCCTGGTCGACTGATTCCTTGGCAATCTCCGGTTCGAGTTTGCAGGGACGCCAGGTGTCCGGCTCCAGCAACAACGCAAAGCAATCCTGGCTCGCCCCTTTGCCGCCTTCGCCGCCTGATGTCGCCCGCTGAAATAGGTCCGAAACGTCAAGCACGCGTTCGTCCTGCAAACTCCATTCCACCAAATTCGACCAACAGAGCCTGAAAGGACATGAGCCGGATGGGAATTTCTTCTTCTGCGTCGTTGTGCAGCCCCGCTGTCTCTACAGTAAGAACGCAAAAGGGAGCGCGGTGGGAGCCAAGGGACTGATTCAAGCAAGGAAATTCGAGAACAATATCGCAGAGCTTGCTCTTCTTCTGGGTATACGAAACTATTAGACACGTGCAAGCGATACATGACCAGCTGAACTCGTTAGCCAACTGAGTGTGTATTCCAACTGGACGAGGGTGAACGTTGAGCTTGAAGCTGAAGTGCGTGGTATGGAGTCCATTTGCCGGTGGGGGGAATCATCGGTGGACCCGAGTTTTGAATAATGTTAGCACAGATAGGCCCTGGTGCTGCCATGGAGTATCGGACAGGAATATTTGCAGTTGTCGCCGGGAATGCACGCTGGAAACCACAGTTCGCTAGCAGAGTTCGATGTTCTCCGGTCAGCTTAGTCTATTGCTGACTATCAACCTTGATTTTTCTCTTTCTTAATGAAAACAGTTGTCTACGGTAATCGTTTCGGAATTGCGGCGCCAATCATTGCCTTCGTGGAGACCCTGCAGCGCAAAACCCAAAGCATAGTCCAGCACCGTCAAGGATCAACATTTTTTCACTGATTGATATTGGTCGGCGATACTCTAGCACCGCCCACTCTCTGCAGCTGTTGCGCACGTACGTCGAACTACTCGCCGTGTGAATGGCCGATTTCTGGTTCCTCGAAAAGACAGTTACGGTCTCTAGAGGTCCACTGCGCGGGGAAATAAATGTGAATGATTGTCTACCTGATCACGTTCAGTAGGAAGACCCGAACCATGTACTTGATTGCCGAACCCTCACGTCACGAGAAATCACCCCATGGGGCCGTCATGCAATGCTTTAGACAACCTCAGGAAGCTTGACGTTCATTGGTGCCATTTTCACGCCTTGCCAACGGATAGACCTATATCCGTGCGTCCGGCAAGCGACGTACATATTTTTCTCAAACGCGTGGCCCGGGAGGTGGGCATGCGTTGGAGGGTCCAGAGGGGCGCTGGGGTAGTGGGAACGACCCCATGGGACGCGTAGGATGGCGTGGGGTGTCTCAAGATTTTGGCGATGGGGAAAATGCATCGGACGGTCTCCAATGTTCAAGCATGTCAGTCAAGACATACACGTTTTAGGGACAATTAATTAGTGTATCATCATTCGTGTATCACATGAATCGGTAGGCCACACTGCACATGTGCGTAACAGTACCTATTGTACGCATGTATACGTTTGCATACAAAGTTGTCTACGTCACATGCATGTAGGGCGTTCCATTGTTCGCGTGCCCTGCAGTTCAACGATGCGATATTTTCTACCGACGCAACCAAACCCTGATCGATGCAACCACTCAATCCATCAATTCGAAAGAACGAATAAAACGTTGCCATCGCCTTGCTTAGCACGCCCCACCCCTCACATACTTTTGAGGATCCCACAAAGTATACTCGACATCACATTCCAGACCCAACCACAGGTAAACAGCAGCGGTAACAAGGGCGAGGCAGTACAGCAAGGCCCACCAAATCGTCTCCACAGCGAGCAGCGTAGAGTTATCTCCGTTCCCGGTTTCACCCTGTAGTCTAAACGGGTGCACGTGAAGGTCGGCAAGTAGAATCGCCCGTAGTCATTCTAGACCTGAGCTGGAAAGCGTGTTGATTCTTGGCTGCAACCTGGTCGCGTTCGGAACCTAAGCACTACCGTTTTGATAATGCAAGTGTAAATGAGTACGGCGCTCGTGACGAAATGATCGATTTCCATCGCGGTATTTGTTGGGATTTTTGGGTGGAGTTTTGTCCGGGGGAACTCGCCACGTCGACCTCAATGTTGACAGCGATACCGATACAAACTGGAACAGGACGCAGAGAAATACGGTAGCGTGGTTCGAACCCCTTCCGCCAACGTAGGAAGTGCTGGAGAACATGGGGCTCTTGTACAGTCGTCAGCATCGTGGACGAGGGACTTTGGCGCTCTCGTTGTCCTCGCCCACAGGTGTCAAAATATTTCTAGGATTAACCCATACTGTGGGAACATCCGGCGGGCCTTCCGAGAAGAAACCCCTGATGAGCACAACGAGCCCTTCCAAGGTGCTCAATCTCACAAAATAGTAGTCACGCGTTCCCCTTGCAATTGTTGCGTAACTTTCATTTTTTGTCTTTTTTTTAGGTACCTGGACCGTGGCCGAGGCGGCCTGGCCGCCCACCAAGTTGATATTTCAACTCCGAACACGACCTGCGTATCGTTTCGCTCCTTTCACACCCAAACTTGAAATCGACAGAAGCATGTCCCATTCTCTCTGGAACACTCTACATCCGGCAACAGCGCTACACCTCATTTCCGGGGCAAGTGGTGAGTGAGCGACCGAGCGTATGCGAGTCAGTGAGTGAGGAGAACAACGTTCAAAAATATGTCACCGAAACGTTTCCGTATAGCAAAGACTGTGGCTGGAAGGAACACGATACATTTTCTATCTTAGTACATTATTCATTCAGGTGGGCCTCGTCAACAGTTGCATCAGCTGCCCTTGAAGATCTACACCAATGAGCGGACGAAAAAGAATCCTCTGTGGAATTTCATGACACTCCATCACTCTCCTTGCATCCCACATCACTTTCGATAGAATCGTTGACTGCTGTGGCATTGTTCCTGTGCCTTACCCCCCATCACGACCGTCGTATTCCATCCAGGTTTGGGAAACGTCCCAGCTGGCAGTTGGCAGCCAGCTGTGAATTGGTTATATTCTGCCTGCTTGACGTTCGCCTTGGATCACCCGATGATCACGCTGCTTACTCTCACATGTTCACTCCGAAGGATCACCTGTATGATGTACTATTTGATGAATACGTACGTATGTATGTGAAGGCTGTCGAGAACTATAGTTCACTCCGGTGCAATTGCCACTTGGCACTGCTGTACATACATGTGTTGTACACATGAACAGCATCATCAGTACTCCAAGCGTCATATTCTATATCCCTCTACCCTGTAGCAGAGGTAGTATCCCCCCAGGAGCACTGTCTACCAGAGGTGTGTACTTCGTGCTTTCGATGCAAGAAAACACGTCCGCTACCCGGTCTCCGGACAGATCAGACCGTTGCCCTCTGATACCAAACATGTACTACCAGACGCGTCCACTGAGTGAGAAATCCCGTTCAGGTGTAGCAGCAGATGATGCAGCTTTGGACAGCAAGATACTTTCCAGCTACGCGTAGCATTGCTATGTGGGGTTCCCATGCACTCGGGCACTCCGCCCATCATCCCAAAGGGCCGGGAGTATTGTCGACATCACAGTGCGAGTGACCGGTACTAGAGTTGATGCTATGGTGATGAATACAGTGTAATGTTGAAATAATTACAATCACCTCATCAATATGATGTACACTGTAGGTTTATCTACTCATCAACCGTGGTTTTCGCTCTACTGCCGCCACTACTACGTCGGGCGGCCGCTATGGTCCTTTCATCTCGCGACGCGCTCTGCAGCTTCCGCTTCGTGCCAACTTGCTACAACCGCCGCCGCGCGTGCTCTTGTCCACGCCATGACTGTCTGGGCTACCAAATTTGTCCAGTCACGACACAGGGTTTCCGACAAATAACGAGGCTGGAATTTGACTGTTACACCCCCAGCTTCATGCATGTATCTGCTCGACGAAGAAAAATTTCGTTGTGAAATTGTTCTTCATAGGACACAACGATGCTATATCTGAAACATTTTCAACAAGCAAACAAGTGTATGTCGGTCGACGTTGATGTTGATTGAAAATTACACAGCAATGGAACTACAACACATCAATCTCACCAATAAATCGAACGAACAAGAGCTCATCAACTCATCAAACGTAACCGTCAAGCATTCGATGATGCACACCACCTCTATGTAGCCACGCCCCACCCCTCACAATTTCCAAGGACCTCAAAACTTCGTGTCAGCAGCCGAGGTAGGCTCGCTCATTAGAATGTAAACGGCCTTGAGCCGATGAGCGCTGCAGGTGCTGACCCCCCTCGCCCCTTGTCCCTCGTCCACCCGTCTGAAAGCAGGTCGAGCCCTTCTTCTACTGCCGTGCCATCATTCATGACCAAGCAAGTCCCCACGACGCGCCCTTCACTTCTACGAAGAACGAAAGGCAAGAAGGACGACAAGGCTGCGCACTAACAGGCGAGGGGGGTTGAACAAAACTGAGACTGATGTGCGTGTAGATTGACTGGCTGATGTCGAGATCGAAGAAGATTCTCTCGGCAACCGGCTCATCTGTATACCACTTGCTCTGACGCAGTTTCGATCGTAGCTCTTCCCGTGCAATTGCTTCCACGCGTTTCGCCCAAAGGCCGGAAATGAAGTGTAACCGGGGTGTAGAGATGAGATATGGTCGTTCCTCTCTAGCCAGAGAGCCAGAAGGAGGCTCGTCTCTCTGTGGTACAGTAGGGGGCCCGATACAAGGCGGTGTAGTGCGCGGTGAAGGAAACCGCCTTATATCGGGCAGCCGCCTTATATGTGTATAAGGCGGTTACCGCCTTATACACGGTCTGAGATTGGCCCAATAGGGCGGTGACCGCCTTATTTAAGACAAATGAAGAATGGAGATTTCAGCGTGTTGGGCATCACCTCACGGCGCGTCGCTGAGTGGAAGAAATGGCCACGCGTCATGCATTCACGCGTGTAGAACGAGCAAGATTGCTTGCAATTGTTTGAGTGTTGTTTGCAGCGGTATGTACGTGTACATCTGATGCCGTACGACCCCGCTGGGAGTGTACAGCAGAGTGTACATCTGCATCCAACAATACCGCCGCACAAGGCTCTGATAGAGTAGACGAAAAACGTGTCCAAACCAAAGTGTGTGCGCGCGCCAGAGTGTTGTTTCCAGTTCAAGCGGCGATCAAATGGGACTACGGCTCAGTGCATGCTCCGGGCCGACGGCGTGTGTGCAAAGAGTGATGTGTCCGCGCTCGTTCGCATCAAATTCCTCCGCAAAAAAAATACGGTTTCGTGCGGCCGAACACAAAAAGTGTGTGCGCGCCTACAGCAAGGTTGTATTCCGTTAAGCCAGGGCGTTGTGTTGACCACTCCTTCAGGTGTCTTGGGCCACAAAGGTACAGGTGTTTCAGAGAGGGGCGTAGTGATGCGAAGATGATCACCGCTTTAATGTTTTCTTTTGAATTGTATTTATAAATATTTTCTACCGCCCGAGGGAAGAGAGAGATACCACACTGGCAGAGAGCACATTTCCCGCAGACACGTTCGCCTCACATACATACAGGTATAAGTTCTACCGGATACTTTATCCGTCCTCTCCTTTCCACCACCTTCGAAAGAAAAGGGGTGGTTGGGTGGGAAAATACTCCACTTCCTGTCAGCTCCAGAGGCTGGCACACCACTAGAAGCCTTCTATGTGACCACCTCGCTACAATAGTTGTCTCTGCGATACTCTCTCTCTGGCACGCTAAGACTCTGTGGACACAAGGCTTGAACAGAATGGTAACACATGCGACTCCTCCTCTCGACCGAGGGGGCCCCGCAGTACGCAATGCGTTCCGGGTACCCCAATATAAACAGTATGGCAATTCGAGTTGTTTCAATAAAACTCGGTTTGTTTTGTCTACGGCTTTGTCTACGCCTTAAACAATCCTGCCCTCTAGAATATTGTTTTATTTCGAATTGCATTTATTAAAATTAACATTTTCTACCGCCCGAGGGAAGAGAGAGATACCAAACTGGCAGAGAGCACATTTCGGAGGGTTGTATTCCGTTAAGCCAGGGCGTGGTGTTGACCACTCCTTCAGGTGTCTTGGGGCACAAAGGTACAGGTGTTTCAGAGAGGGGCGTAGTGATACGAAGAAAATCACCGCCATATAACGGATTATACTTGGGTAGTCACCGCCCTATACAGGAAGATTGTCGATAGAAGGCGGTGCCGCCGTATATCGGGTCCAAGTTGTGTGCGCCAATTTCAGCCGCCATATATCGGACAACCGCCCTATTCACACCGCCATATATCGGCCCCCCTACCGGGCATTGTCGATTCCATGCGGCATGCGGAATTCCAGAGCAAGCTCTCGGCAGCCGAGGTAGGCTCGCTCATTAGAATGTAAACGGCCTTCAGCCGATGAGCGCAGCAGGTGCTGACCCCCCTCGCTCCTTGTCTCTCGTCCACCCGTCAGAAAGCAGGTCGAGCCCTTCTTCTACCACTGTGTCATCATTCATGGCCAAGCAAGTCCCCACGACGCGTCCTTCACTTCCACGAAGAACGACAAGAGCAAGAAGGACGACAAGGCTGCACACTAACAGGCGAGGGGGGTTGAACAAAACTGAGACTGATGTGCGTGTAGATCGACCGGCTGATGTCGAGATCGAAGATGATTCTCTCGGCAACCGGCTCATCTGTATACCACTTGCTCTGACGCAGTTTCGATCGTAGCTCTTCCCGTGCCATTGTCTCCACGTGTTTCGCCCAAAGGCCGGAAATGAAGTGTAACCGGGGTGTAGAGATGAGATATGGTCGTTCCTCTCTAGCCAGAGAGCCAGAAGGAGGCTCGTCTCTCTGTACTACCCGGACATGGTCGATTCCATGCGGCATGCGGAATTCCAGAGCAAGCTCTCGGCAGCCGAGGTAGGCTCGCTCATTAGAATGTAAACGGCCTTCAGCCGATGAGCGCAGCAGGTGCTGACCCCCCTCGCCCCTTGTCTCTCGTCCACCCGTCTGAAAGCAGGTCGAGCCCTTATTCTACCACCGTGTCATCATTCATGGCCAAGCAAGTCCTCACGACGCGTCCTTCACTTCCACGAAGAACGACAACAACTAGGCTGCACACTAACAGGCGAGGGGGGTTGAACAAAACTGAGACTGATGTGCGTGTACATCGACCGGCTGATGTCGAGATCGAAGATGATTCTCTCGGCAACCGGCTCATCTGTATACCACTCACTCTGACGCAGTTTCGATCGTAGCTCTTCCCGTGCCATTGTCTCCACGTGTCTCGCCCAAAGGCCGGAAATGAAGTGTAACTGGGGCGTAGAGATGAGATATGGTCGTTCCTCTCAAGACAGAGAGCCAGAAGGAGGCTCGTCTCTCTGTACTACCCGGACATGGTCGATTCCATGCGGCATGCGGAATTCCAGAGCAAGCTCTCTGCAGCCGAGGTAGGCTCGCTCATTAGAATGGAAACGGCCTTGAGCTGATGAGCGCAGCAGGTGCTGACCCCCCTCGCCCCTTGTCTCTCGTCCACCCTTCTGAAAGCAGGTCGAGCCCTTCTTCTACCACTGTGTCATCATTCATGGCCAAGCAAGTCCCCACGACGCGTCCTTCACTTCCACGAAGAACGACAACAACTAGGCTGCACACTAACAGGCGAGGGGGGTTGAACAAAACTGAGACTGATGTGCGTGTAGATCGACCGGCTGATGTCGAGATCGAAGATGATTCTCTCGGCAACCGGCTCATCTGTATACCACTTGCTCTGACGCAGTTTCGATCGTAGCTCTTCCCGTGCCATTGTCTCCACGTGTTTCGCCCAAAGGCCGGAAATGAAGTGTAACCGGAGTGTAGAGATGAGATATGGTCGTTCCTCTCTAGCCAGAGAGCCAGAAGGAGGCTCGTCTCTCTGTACTACCCGGACATGGTCGATTCCATGCGGCATGCGGAATTCCAGAGCAAGCTCTCGGCAGC